CGAGATCAAATCTCTCGAGGCTCAACATCGACTTAATCGTGTGGTCACAAGTCGACAGAGCTCCGACGGTTTTTTGGAAGTAGTTAAAGTCAAAGATGGTCTTCCATCTACCACAGTCCTTTCAATTTTGTCATTGTTGTAGTTAACCTTGAAACCTTTTGGTTAATTTCCACAACCAACAGCTAAAGCTTGCGACTATAGAAGTGCTAAAGTAATGATGAAAGGTGAATTCAATATTTCTTATATATGGACTCAATATTATAGAGCCTTTTAGTTACGGTACGTTTGGGCTGTCCGTTGTGGGGATTAGGGAACCCGTCTTAGAATCAATTTCATCTATCATCATAATCTATAATTTTTTATTTTTGTATTGCTTGTTCTACAACAGCTTCTTGATTGCCATAATTTCATTTACCTCTATACATTTCAGCCTAGAAAACAATTTCAAATGTCCTTGTGTCGATAATAATAGCCTGTAATTTGTTTGGGCTGGCAGTTGCGGCCAACCATGGTCGTGACAATTACATGATCGGTCTTGGAACAAATCTCAACTATCATAATACTTTATAATTCTTGATTCTTGTACAGTTTGTACAAAATAACTTATGTTTTGCTTTTGCTGCCGGTGAGATAAGTTATGGTCGTAAGGAAATCATGAGCATTCTCATAATCATTTTTATTTACCATTGTTATTGGTAATTTTTAAAATTTTTGTATAGCTTGTTCTACTACATCTTATTGATTGTCATTGTTTCACTTGTTTCTAAACTTTTCACCTGAAAAACAATCCCAAATGTTCCCGTGTTCATTATTTGCTCTGCGGAATAGCTCATGGTTTGCTTAAGATGGCTGTTGTGACTACCTTTGCTCGTTTTATGGTCTTGGATCACGAGTACGTGATTAGATTTGCTACCAATTCCATTCTTCTTGATTATCACCGTTTCACATTTTTGTATACATTTCGTGTGAAAAAAATGTCCTCATGTCCAGCATCCGCACTGAGAAATAGCTTATGATGTGTTTGGCCGTTGCAGACATCTGTGATTGTGACGATTACGTGACCAATCATTATTTCATTTTCATTTTGACCTCAATCTCACTGTTGTGATCAAGTTGGAAAGTTTTTTGGATGATCCCACACCCATCAGCTAAAGTTCATATATATATATATATATATATATATTATTTATTTTTTGTTGAATACATTGATTATATTAATTATAATAATGTATTTTTTTATATCTCTTTATGTTTGGATGTCCAGTTGCAATGCTTCAATGTCATAATGTTAGGATGATCAACAAGTCACACTATCTTTAATTTAATATTCTTATACTGCTTTTCCTGCAGCATCTTTTTTATTACAACCTATTCATACGTCTCTATACATTTTGCATGAAAAATAATTTCAAATGTCCCCATGCCCACCATCCCTTGCGCGGAGTAGCTGATGGTCTGCTTGGGCTGGTCATTGATTACGTGTTTTGTGTCGGAATCATCTTCATATACCATCATTAATTGTAATTTATTTATTTCTAATTTTTAATTTTAATCCATCCACAGGGTTTCTCGTGATTCGACCGAGATGTTTGACTTCATGTTACTGAATTCCTTGATGCACATCCATCACTCTGAACCCTCCAATTGCCTTGTTTACGAGAAATCGGGAAGGTGACTGCAGAGTTAGCAGATGTCTTCATGCATTCAAGAGACTGATCATCACGAGTCACTACGATTGGCACAATAATTTGCTCACATCATGAAGAATGACATAGGAAGACTTGGTCACTTAACATGTGATTTCTTCTCATTTACTTCAAGATTGACCCAGCAAGCTCTGATATTTGTTTCATAAGATAGTTATGTTGCGTAATGTGCTCAAGGTATAAAACCTGCAAATAGTTCAAAAAAAACTAAGAATTTCATATGTTGGAAGTAGCTTCAACTTACTCAAGCTAAAAAAAACTTATGATTTTATATGTTGCGAGTACCTCCACCTTGCGCAAGATCCAAAAAAGCTCACCTCAAAACTGTTTTTCTCTAATACTGTACTGCCAATTCCGTACACTTCACCTTGCTATGTTGGAGGATCAGAAGTACTTAGTGTAGTGTAGTTTCAAGACATGGAGGGATAGCTATGATGAGGTTTCGGCTGCCTATCAGATCATTTTTTCCGCTTATAGTGAATATAAATAATTTCTGAAGACTAGGTTGTATGACTGTGGACCACGATCCAGGACCTCTGATTACTATGACTAACAATAGTCAGAAGATTGACAAGAGATATTGTGGCGTATTTCTCGCTTTGACTCGAATCCGTATGATGACTCTTATACTGTACTGGTTGGATCCTAAATTCCAGGACTGCAGATGAATATTATAGCATCGAATTCTGCCCTGGCCGTAAATGGGTACAACCAATGTTCGACATCACGGAGCCTTGTCAAGTGGCAAGTTGGAATCTAGAATCAGTTCCGACCAAGTTAACGCGATATTTTGCGAATTTCTGCAGCCTAATTATAGTTCGAGGTTTGCTTTACAATGTACGGACTATTGTCAAGATTCCGATGGTTACGAGTCTGAAGCATTGTCTGTGTGAGTTGCATGCGTCATTCTTGTTAATTTGTTGGATATTTGAGGCCAACAAATAGAGCAAAAATTAAAAAACACTGTTAGCTATTCAAGAGCATTCTCGTATTTTTAGTTTTTTAATTTCTGACTGAAATAACAAATATTATTTATTATTTTTGTAACCTTTTATAGGATAGTAACCGTTTACAGCAGGAGCTTCAACAGCAGCTAAGTCTAGAGGGGAGTAGGCATATCACTTGGATACTCCAGGAATTTCATCTGCTTGACTACTCCATAAAAATTTGGAAAACTCACCATTTTACTAGATTGAGCTTTCATCGATCCCTAGTGGCTCCGCGCTATCTCCCGAAATAAGGGAGGGCGAAGCTGATCAAGTGCGTTGTCCGGGCGTGGACCATGTCTCCCGAAATTGATGAATCAGTACATATCGTCTAAGACGATTTCACATCCATGACTAGAGGGCAAAAATTTTCGTTCGAAGGCGGGATTGCTTTTCTTTCTTTCAGTCGGACAACAGAATACATGGAATCAAGAGCTCAATTGCGGAGCCTTTCCCCGTGCACTCTCACGATATCATCAAGTGCTCCCCGCGCGAGATGATTACCCATCACAAGGCTCTCCAACTCCAGTTTCCCTGTGGTTATGAACAATGGTAAGCCTCTAATCGTTCCCTTCTTTCTCAGCCATTTCGGAAAAGAGTGTCCTTCAAACACTCACCCCTCCCCCCTCCGGTTACGGAGTAACCATGGTGTTTGGCGACAAATTTTATTTTTTTTGTTACCACCTCACCTTTCTCCGTAGACAATGCCACCTTAAATCGTGTTTTTAGCCTTCATTACTTAGTTATTTTTATAATAGCAGGTGCTAGTATTCTTCATATAGCTGCATTACATCAATAAGGTTCCAATAATCAGACACCGGGAAATTAAGTCGCATACGACGAAGCCCCAACGAATGAAATGCTCGGAGGAAAGGCCTGTAGATGATAAAATGCTATGCTGATCTTCAGGTTTTGAGTAGAATCTCGAACACATATCTTGTTTGGGATAGCGATGAGGTTAATAGATTTGTTATTGTCTTTGACTAAATCTGGGAACAATGTAGGAATAATCAGAAGAACCCACTGCTAAATATGTGTTCTTAAACCCAGTATAGAAATTCTTAATGTGTGCTTACATCTCAAAGGTACCCTAGGTCTTCGCTCTCTAACTTGGAGTGAACTTTTGCGCTCTAGCTGGTGTCATCCTTGTCGATCTGCATACTTATTTTGGTCCTCAAGTGAATATCCAAGTATAAAAGGTAATTTCCCCACATCCAGCATCCAGTCCAACTATTGCAGTCAGACGAGAAATCCAATGGTAACACCTAATTCTTTCAGTAAAGATACTCTCACTATACGTCGGAATTACTATATGGTCCGATATTGAATTATTGTGATTCACGCTAGCTAAATGCATAGAGCTTTAGAATCAGAACACAACTATGGTAAGAAAATAGATGAGTAGAGATCTGCATCTCATTGGAGGAATTCACACTTCACGAGCTCAATGCTCAGCTATCACTGTTGACTAATAGATTAGTGCTCAAAAGTCAAGTTGAATAAAGACCTGATGGTATCTCCAAGAAAATTTAAAATATGTCGGATTCAGAATTTGGCCATTGTTTACTATAACTTATATTGTAGACTTAGTACAGACATAAGAGGAACTATAGTCACATGCTGGAAATGAAGGCATTTTGCACTGCTATCGTAGTTAAGTTGGAAAAGTATATGGGGACCCCTTTGATTTCATTCCCGGGGCCAGTGTCAGACTTCGTTAAAATCGAAACTTCGAAGTTAATAAGAGTCATGATCTTCATTCAAAGAATATCGTTCACAAATCATGTGTTCACAATTTGCTGTGACAGCGTAGGTGGATGCAGAGTCTTCTTGACGGACATAGTCCTCTAAAGACATTAAATTTCTATCATTTAATGTCTGTTCTTGTCAATCTTAGGACTGAAGAGCAAGATGGAAAACTCGGATATGCGTTTGCTATCTTCACGGGATTTTTGGCCTTGAGAACCACTGGATGACTCTTCTCCCTTTAAATGTAAAATTACATATTTTGTTTCCCCACCGTTTTGTAATTTCCCAGCTCTCGAATTGTTTTAGAGCTCATACCCATGATGAAGAATTCTATAAAAACTACAAAATTTTTGGTTATATTTTATGGCGCAAAAGTTTTGGTTATAATTTATGGCGCGTGGGAACTTATTTAGCAGGGTGCCGAATCGGTCGTCGATCAGCAAAATTTAAATTCTCTCCGAGACAAACACGCACATAAAACATTGGATAGAGTTTTCCCAAAACTCGAACGTGAATGAAAGGCGCAACAAGTATCAAGTCGATGCGATAAAACGTAAAAGGAGCACTTCGCAGCTCACGTAACAAGAATAATTACATATTTGGTCAAAGTACAAGAGTAAGGGCTCAGAATCTTCAGATACAGGCATAGGTCTACAATTGCCATCCTTGCCTCCGACTGGAAGCTTGGAAAGTGGGAAGAAAATCATCCGCGGGCAGCTGTCGATGATCCTAACTTGCGGCACTTGTCTGTGACCCTTTTGTGGCAGCTCGAGCAGGAGAAATGTTGTGTTCCAGAGGCCCGAGGTCTCAGAGGGGCTTGGACGGTTGCTCGTGCTCGTCGTCCGAGGAGGAGGCGAGGGGAGAATCGGCAAAGTAAGTCTGCTTGTAAGTATGGTACCTGGAGACGAGAAGGAAGGCGACGAGATTGATGCTGCTGAGGACGGCCATGAGCCAGTAGAAGTTGTCGAGTCTGCTGGTGTTCAGATTGTTCGGCAGCCATGGCGTGGGGTTCGAGGTGGCAGAATTGACGGCCGACACGATGGCGCTGCTGCCGAAGGCTCCGATGGCCAGAGTGCACAAGCAGAAGGACGTGCCGAGCGAGCGCATGTTCTCGGGCGACTCGTTGTAGAAGAAGTCGATCTGAGCCGGGAAGATGAGCGCCTCGCCCACGCCCATGATGAAGAACTGCGGGACGATCCAGAACATGGAGAAGTCGTTCATGGGCACGGAGGGCTTCAGCTCCCAGTTGGTGTCGTGCACCACTTGCAGCCTCTTGCGCTCGACCAAGGCAGCAGCCGTCATGGCCAGAATTGGGCACACCAGCCCCCAGCCCATCCTCTGGATGCTGGTGATGCCGCTGATCAGCCCGGTTCTCCTCCTGGCCATGGGCATAAACACTTTGTCGTAGAAGATCAGCGCCACCAGCACCGCCAGCGTTTGTATCACTCCTATGGACGCCGAGGGGACCACAAAATTGGGTCCCAATCTTCTGTCCGATGTCAGCGACTGGAGAACTGTGAACGTGGAGAACTGGGCCTGGACCGTCCAGAAGTACCACGTCGTCGCAAGAATTGGCAGCAATCGCAGCACCATTTTGAAATCCTCCACTTCCGTCACCGTGGCAATACCCCAGCCCCCGAGCTCGATGGCGTTCCCACCTTCTGGTAGAATCGCTGCCTTGTCCAGCCATCTGCAGTCGACCACAGACGGATAAAAGCAGCAGCAGCAGCAGTTGTTAAATTCTGTCTGCATGTCCATACATTACCCTGAGATCTAATATGAAGGAATCCTCTGCCTGAACGAACGACAGGTTCAGTCTGCATTCAAACGAAATCCATTCAAGGTCTGGAATGAGATGAGCATCGACAATTGGAACATTTTCTCTTCACATCTCACGTTGGAAGCAACAATGTGCTGTCGAACCCAATGAAGTGCCGAGCTAAGCATAAATCACGTGCATTTTCATGTTTCATCTTGTTTCAACCTCAATGAAGTGCTCGAATGCGATCGAGACTCAACATTTTCAATGTTGAAAGCTGTCATCTGGTTTTGGAAGCCGCGATGCAGGTTTTCCACGAATTAGACCCAGCTTCGATGGGTCGAGACCAATTCGTTGGATATTCCACGAACAAACTCAAATCTTGTGATTATGGACATTGTCAGTAAGTGAGGTGAGATGAACTGCAGTGCATACCGCATGTTGTTGGTCTGGGCGACTTTGAGCTTGGCGCCCTGACGAGTGACATCGTAGAAGCCGGACTTCTCGGAGGGGCGAGGGAGCTTGCGGTTCTTGATGGCTATAACGAGCACCTTGGCCAGGGCCGTGAAGGGGCTACCACGAGATATCTGGTATCGGTATTTCTTGCGGACTGCGCACAGTGAGATCAGCGCGATGGCCATGATGATGACCAGGGAACCGAAGCCCCAAGCCCAGCTCCTGTCCTCGATGTAAACAATGACGGTTTGTGCCAAGACGACACCCCCCATGATGTAAAAGTAGAGCCAGTTGAAGTAGCTGGGCAGCAGTTTCGCCTCCTTCGGGTCCTCCTTTTCCATCTGGTCTGCCCCGAATGCCGAGACGGAGGATTTGATTCCTCCCGTTCCCAAAGCCACCAGGTACATTCCCAAGTTTATCACTAACAGATCGGTCCCGTGCGCAGCAGGGCATGTCTTTGGATCCAGGCACCGGAATTGGGCCAAAGATGCGTTGATTATCAGAACACCAATACCCTGCAGAAACATCCAATTGAACATTCGTGCAGAAAGCAACAACTCAGTGAAGCCTGTCCATAAATGGAGGTCTGTGAAGCTCAAGGCTGTGTATGTGCCTCTCCTACCAGATGTTATTATTGCAAGAAATACGAGTTAGCTTTTGAATCATCTCGATCTACATCCTCAGACCAGAACCTGTTTGTACAGGTCTGTTAAGTGGATAAAAGATTTCTGCAAACGATTGTATTAAGTTGCGTTCAACAAGAATGCTGCGCAATGAATGTTTAGATGATCATGAAGTGGTATACAGCCCTTGCTGGTGGGCTCGAGTTCCAGTAGAATCAGCTGGTGCATTTGATAGTTAGCGTATGAAGATTGGGTAAATCTAGACTTGGATTTTGCTAGGTAGAGTAGCTGGATGCGTACCAGCGTCTGGACGAGTATGAAGATTACAATCGTCCAGTAGCGCCCGATGAAGGTGTCGGCCAGGAAGCCTCCGACAAGGGTGAAAACGTACGAAGCGCCCAAGAAGTTAGTGACCATGTTAGCTGCATCGGCGAGATGTATATGCTTAACGGTGAAAAGGTACGTGATTATGTTCACGGTCACTCCAAAAAAGGCAGTTCTTTCTGCAAATTCTGCACCTGCAATGCAAGTTTCCAACCAACAAAGTCCGATATAGAATGAGCATCTGTCGGTGTATCAGTCAGGACCGCCTTCAAGTTCTAAAGCTTCGATATTCAAACATCCTCAAATCGTAATCTATCGAAAGATCGACTTTGCCTTCTACAAGCTCAGCATCATATATATTTTTTTATTATTGCATCATTGCAATCATTCAGTTTGAATGACACCAACACCAGTCTATGGTGCTGATCATTATTCGAACAGTAAGGAAGAAAGCAGGAGGAGGACAGTCTGATGTCCTAACGTACTGAAAATGAAAGGCAACACCCTGTAGCCGCCAGTCCGTTGCTTGTTTGCTGGCTCGCCCTTGTAGTTCCTGGTACCATCTCTGGTAACTAACGAGTCTGACACGCTCAGATCAATGGGAATGCTGGAGTCCACGACCTGTGCCTTCAGTGATCAACCATCATGCAACGATATCACTCCTCAGCACACAACCGAACCTTACACTTGAATGTATATGAAGATGGTGGAATCAGGACGGAAATAGCAGCAATTATCTGAAGTAAATTTTTCTTTCACGTAGGGTAGGAATTCCTAGCTGAAACTGTTTGGCTATCAGTGAGTAATTGAATCATAGATACATGTCACAGGCGAATGGGCCTAATTATGATCACATGTATTATCTAGTGACATCTAAAAATCAGCTATCTAGCTAGAACTCGTACCATTTTGTTGGCTGGAACACTTTACAGTAGTCCAGTCTGTTCGAATGAGCTCCCTGAGCCTTCCCTTGAACTCACAGAGTTGCGGTAAGTAATTCCCTCAAGAATAGTATTCACAGTTTAAAACGAGTAGCTTCAAACGTGGCAAAAATTCTTGCAACGCATGCCCTGCTTCCAGCGTATCCCTTGTCCAGCTTATTGCACAATAAATATCAGTTTCCGTATCTTCTTCGGATGGGTTGTAACTGATGCGTGAGACTTTTCAGCCCATATACTTGAAATGGGTCGATTGATCGCAGTCTGGTGCCAATCTCATCATGCCCGCATTACATGATGTACAAAGAGGCTGACTGCCGAAGATGACCTTTCATGCACACGTGCAGTCACGCATGGATTGCTTGCTGCATGCGAGTATGCACACAACCAGCCCCCCAACTGATGAACGCATGTAGCTTCGACCGCTGACTTCTCGTAGTCAGATTGGTCGTCAGGTATTCAGTCAGGCAGGTTGAGCGAGAATGGAGAAAGGGATGAAGGCATCTGCAGATACTAATGCAACATTCTGGGAGAACTGTGCGTCGATCGAGGGATCGAGGGATCGAGAGACTAGAGATTGAGATTGAGAGTAAGATCAGGATCTGTCAGTAGCTGAATGGGATCTCTCCGATAACCTGCTGAGGGCATGCAGTACGACCAGGAACTTATGTGAACTTATAGGAGTATGAAAGAACCTCTTTCCAGCAGGGATTATCGACTGAGCAGATCACAAAGACATCCCAAGTGGCATTTGAGCAACTGTCTCGCCTGCTGACGGCAGTGTTGACATCACAGTGACTGAACGTGAGTAGTGTAGCAGGGAAGGCAGCCATGGAAAGCTGACGTCCTCTGAGCATCGCTGCCTGATGGGCAAAAGCACAGTTGCAATATACATGTGCTGAAACAATTTTTTAATTTTTTTTATTCGTATAAAATGTACCGGTAAATTATTCCGGCTTCGGCAGAGCTATGATTTCAAGCTCTGATCATGGTCTGAGAGGATTGAACGTAACAGCAAATTGGTAGTTTTGATGCGTTGGGTCGAACAGTAAAAGAATTTGAAAAATTTGACTTTGTGTAGTAGCCTCTCACTTGAAAAGTGATTATAAATTGTCTTCACACTTCGATACGTAGAGAAGAGTTTTCCAATGGAATTACTCTTGCAGGTCAACAAAGATTGAGCGCAGCTTCACTTTGTCAGCAGCCACCATTTTTTAAACATGTCCCTTGGATTTATATCTGTTTGCATCTTCTCCACTATCCAGACTTTATCTTCTTTTAAGATATTAAGTGATATGGAGATCCAATCTGCTTTGTTCTTGAGTGAAATGCTAGATTCCGGCCAAGTAATCACACTCTAACCATCATTATAAACAAAGATTGTATTATATGTTAGATTCTAACTCAATAATCAAAGCCATATCATCTCTTCATTCGCTTGAATCACTTCTACATATTTAGACTACGTAGTAGATAGGTCAACAATCTTTGTAGCTCGGACATCCAACTAACTTTCCAACAATGAAGTACAATGGTGATTATAGTGATCAACTTTCATCTCAGAGACTTCATCAACATAGCCTTGTATTTTCTATTTATTTCACTATGATGTCTTTAAGATTTCTGAAAAACCACTTCAGTACTTTCCCCAGAACTTTTTTTGGATCTAACATATATTTGCAAACAAATCCTCACTCAAGACTGATACTACTAAGCTTCACAAGGGGGAAACAATCTTAGCATAGTTAACTCCTTACTTACGCTAAAAATAAATAAATTGATTATTAGTCAAGCATCATATCTCTTTAAACATCCTGTTCTCTTTGATCCGGTACACCTAGTTGCACTTGCAACTCAGCTTAGTTCCATGTCCTGGAAATTAAACCATTGATCTTCCCATTTATGGCAAGCTAATACTTGCTTGATTCAATACTTGCACTTATTCAAGCTCTACTCCATTTTTCAACAATATATGATTCTCATATTCTTATCAATCTTGTACATGAGGCCAAAATTATAATATCAACACAAAAATTGAAGTATAAGATTGTGCTGCATCAAAATGTCACACGGTACCTTCTCCAATGATTGATTCAATTGATAATATGCTTTGCCACTAGACTATCTGAAACTTATGATATGTTTATATAAATATTGATCTACTCTACTTTGATTCCCTAGTTTAATCTTATTTTGTCTTCATGATTCTCTTCATATATTGTGCTTAAAGAGCATCAAAAGTGTTATTTTATCGGAATTGTTCAATATATATATTAAATTATAACATTGTGTAAAGGTGAACCTTGCTTTGTTCTCTTCATTTGAACTTGATGTTCGTAGTGAATTTCTTCAATGTGGTGTTTTCAGATTCATACTATTGTCATCTGATCATTTTGAGTTTTGAAGCTATTTTGATTTTAATCTTAACTTTCCATTTCTTGAAAGGCGCACAAAATTTTAACTTATCCGTTAGAGAGTAAAGCCATACCTTTCAAAGGTATGGCTTTACTCTAAGAATAGCTGATAAGAATAAAAAAAGCAATATTTGTCACTAGTGATTGAGATAGTCATTGTATTCAAATATCTGAGTGAAAAGATTCTTCTCTTCTCTTCATAGAAGTTCTGCCACTTATATGAAAACTGTCTTTTTCTGCTTTTCAGATATATAATCCTTGTACATATGTATTTCGATTGATTTTAGACCTAGAAATTGTCCATTTAAGTGCAAAATTTATATCGCTTATTCATTCATGATGTGAGGCATTTAGTTCCATATTTTGGAATAACTTTGCCTACTGCAATGGTGATTGAGCAACACGTCACAGATCTTATTTTTTCAACTACATTTTTTTCACTCCGACAAACTAGCATTGCATCTTTCATTAGCTTTTGAAAATCACTATGTATTTTTACTCTAACAAACTACCATTGCATCTTTCATTTGCTTTTGAAAATCACTATGTTTTTTTACTCTGAAAAACTACCATTGCATCTCTAATTAGTTTTCAACAATCACCATGAAAATGAAAAATTGTAGTTGTCTTAGTTATCCAACTAGTATACTAAGATCAAGTGCTTATTGATGTAATAAAATATCAGTTTAATCTTTTTCACTGCTCTTTTACCAATATCATAAGATTGATAATCACTTAGGTTTATTTTTTCAGAATCTTGAGTAAAATGAATTTTGAAAAACATTTCCTCTTAGAATGAGCATAGAATGATACTCAAACCTTCATCATCAAACTCTTTATTTGTACTTTAAAGAACATATAAAGAGTCATCATTGTATTCAATGAAATAAATATTGAACTGAATATTTTGCTCTTGATTCTTTGATACACTCATGCTTCATAATGTAATGATTATTTTTACCACAAATTTCAATACAATGATCTTTATTGGTGTTTTTTACAACTTTTTAACATATTGCGTATAAATTGAGTCACATTGCGTATGAATTGTTTCAATATGAGTTTAAAAGAATCTATTTTTCTTTACAATTATAAAGGTTGATGATTGATCTATCATATAATTTACTCTCAAGAAACTTGATCATGAGTATTATCAAATTCAAAGTTTAATTTCTTTGTAACAAACTAATCTTATACATCACATTAGCACTACAACTTTCTAGATTAGATTGTATAATTATTAACATACATATGTATTTATCAAATTCAAAGATGACTAAATTAATTGATGTATGATTATATTGAAACTATTGAGATGTTGAGTTAAAAATAAGATTTTTTTGATTGCGAATTGAATATCGAAACTATCAATTCAACTTACTTATGTATGTCTTCTTATATTATAGATAGTCAACACAATATTTGATGTAGTACTTTACTTTCTTGGGATATAATGTTTCAAGCAAGTAAATTTCATATAAAAATTTGATTTCATCTACTTTCAAATCATCTACCACTCCAAAGTACATCTAGGACAAATCCATAGTCCAGTCGGAACAACATTGATAGGTGGAGTTGGGCACGACATGTGTCATCTCCTAGAACACCTATCACACACCACCATAAGGGCCGCCTGACCAACTGAATCACATAGCACTTCAAACCAACACATACTATTATCAAGCTTGGATACATAGAACCATCCACATTTGGGAGCTGACATGGCGCAGAATTGCGCACATGATCTCTTCAAACAACATCGTCGCGACCCTCCAACATGAGAACTGCAGAAGATAGCACCTCCTGCACTCGCAAGATAATACGGCCCGCAGGCACATCCAATATTGTCGATGCAGTCTATTGTAAATAGCCGTAGTCTCGCACATGGAACCTACAAATCGATGGTCGATAGCCTCCTCCTAGAATGATTGCATAATGCAACAATTTTCTATACTGAGCAATCCGTAAGAGTTGTGATACATTTGAGTGTGTACACTCTTGTACCCTATGTGTGTATGCGAGTAACAAGTCAGCGATCTAGATTGTATGGCGATATATTCTTGCACGTAACATTAATGAAAAAGAAAATCATTTTTAAATACATCATAAGTGACAACTTTTAGTGTTTGGCGGAACAAGATGATGGTCATGCAGTCTGAAAGAGCATAAATTGAGATAATGAAATACAATGAACATTTATGATTGTTTGTTCTTGGAGAGACAAGTCAAAAGCAAGTTAAAATCTATGAATCTAGGCAAGATGTTTAGGTCAAAAACGTACATGTACAATAACAAAAACTAAATTTCTTTTTTAATACCATGCTATTTTCGTATTCTTATACTGCATTTGCAACATTTGTATATAAAACAAAGGGATGATTATGATGAATTTACTTTGTTGTTTAGTATTATTCAGAGCTAATTTCATTGCAAAGAATTTTCAAACAAGATATATGTTGTCTTGAAACTAATAAATTTCAAGATGAAAGGTTATGACAAGAAAATTAAACATCACATTGAAACTTTTGATGATTTTGTTATTCATTTTCAAAAACTTGGTGAGGTGATAAAATGATAATATGATGATTTGCACCAGAAGAAGATGAAGACATTTACTTTATCATTTTTTTTCTGATAAAGTACATGACATTGAATAATGAATTGAGATCATTAATATGCATAGAATTACATGAATGATAATTATTTTGAATCTGAAGGTAGATACAATTTTAGAACTAAATTATTATGAGAGAAAGTTATGTGTTGGAAATATGAAAAGAATAGTTACGTCAAGAAGTACTCTTATGTGAAGATTTAAAATATTGATACTGTTTTAGCCAATGTGATTCGAGAATTTTGATCATTAGTAGAATGATTTGTTCAAATATGGATTAAAATGCAAGAGTTAGACTATGTTAGTAAAAAAATTATTACTGAAAATAGTAAAAATACTAAATTTATTTTAATTAATAAAAAATATTTTATTTTTTATTTATCTCAATGCATTATTAATTCAAAATATTTGACAAATTAAATAAACATATTCTTTGCAAATTGGATTCTGACTTAAAATTGGAAGAATATTCACTTGTTCGAGATGATAGAATTGTTGCAAAAACTTATGAAAGTATTTTCTGATAATTTTTTTAAAATCATAGAATGAATGTTTCTCAAGTTTGAAAAGAAATAACCATGCAACATCTAGATATTGGAATTTGCTATGCTGGTATTGTATCACGTGAAAACACTCGAGAGTGACGGGTGAGTAGTAAAGTAAAGGTACAAGCATGGTTGCATTGTAAGAACAAAGTAATACGTTCCTTCAATGCACTTTCATGAATCAGTCATAGCACTAAATTATAAGTATTAAAAACTAAGGGAGACAACGGCCATGCTCAAGTGGTATCGAAAAGCCTAACTTCGCCTCTAGCTGTCCAGCAAAAATAAATTTGGTGGTTTATAGTTGCTCAGCATCTCATGCCATTGACCACAAGTTTGTTTTCTTCCGCGTGACATTCGAGGGGACATCAAACCACGGGATATGATCAGGCTTTACTCACGAGTATTTCGCACTAGATCACAACTTGGATTACACTCAACTGGACATTTCGGGCCTATCGACATTTTAAAAGACTTGCATGACGAATCATAGAAGGTCGTCTATGATTCTTTGCATACAGGGCCTGGGATAGAGGAACCAATATGGGAGCTTGATCATGAGCTGATCCAAATTCGCCCAGTGGTCCCAATAAAGAACCTCAATGACTTGCTTTCACTGCTACCCACGCCCCTGGTCCGGGAGCTCTTGTTAATCGACTCAAAAAGCAACTGAAGATTTTTCTGGACAATCTCTTAGTTCAAAACATGAGTCCTGTCCTGTTGCTGCGTGTGGTCGCAAGCGTGTGACAATTTCACCTGAATCAAGTGAGAGCCTCCGTTTTCAACTTTTATACAAGCCTTTACTATTGCCTATTAGTCTAGCCCACGTGCAGCTTCTTCTCCTCGTGTGAACAGACGCTTAGTGGGTATGGGGAGTTTGTAGTACCAGGTGTTCTATCAACAGGAAGAGAATAACATGTTGTTTATGTGAGGACTTGCATCAACAGTTGATTCACTTGATGATGCTGCTCGGCAGATTCTCTTCGTTGCGTATAGAGATCATTACTTTGCTCATGCTTATACTAATCTTCCTACAATTATTAGTTATAGCTAAGTGCTGGCCACCATGCAGAACGTGCTCCTCGGGAGACAGAGAGCATATAGAGCTCATGGCACACGTTCTAACATTTCCGGAGATGCAGATGCAATATCCAAGTGGAAGAATTGCATCCTGAATAGGTCACATAGCACCCACCGAGCAGGAGAATTAAGAAATAATAGCAAAAGGATGGGAAGACCCCTTCAACCCGTACATGGATGAGACCAATAAACTGTTGGTAATCGTTGATAAGTTCAGGGGGTTACAATTCAATAATATCACATTATAAAATACACTAACCATCCAGGTCAACCCGTGTAAAAAGATTCATCTCCTCACGTGATTGCCAAATGCATCACCGACCAAGTTTATTAATCAGATAGTAGAGGGCTTCCTCCAGCCAGCACATTCCGGCCTCCAGGTACGACGGATGTTAGACATTGAGGAAATCGAGGTGTCCGTTTCTACTCTGTATTTGACAGTATCCAAACGGCAACAAATATGAATTCAATATGAAGTGCTTGACAATCTGCAGCACTAATTGTCTGCTCTTGTCTGCTACAAGTCTGAAAGCTGTGGGATTCTTGAATAGATTTTGCATCACTTATGACTGGGGTCTGATGTATTTAATCAGCTTCATATATTTAGTTATATATGTATGTAAACCCGCGACTGAGAAATATCTACCATTCCAACTGAAACTTCGCAGCCCATTGCTCACGGCTGCTCGTATAGTACTATGCTTCGAAACGCTGGACTCCACTCGGATGCATAACGTGCTTGCAAATTGTTCCTGGAGTTTCATCGAGTGGGCCTTTAGGAATAGCAAACTTCCAGTTTCAGTTCCTGCATTAAAATGTTCTGATTTTCTCGACCTGTAAAGTAATTGATATTTGGAATCCCAATGCGGATCGTGTCTTCGATTCGAGACAATTAATTATACACAATACAATCCACCGCACCGTTACTTCATCTCATAGGTGAGGTGTGAAGGACCAGTTCCCGGCACCAATTTCAAAATCACAATGGTGTGATCCACTCCAAACTAAATGACAGACTTTAGACTCAACTTGCTCCCCTTGGTTTGTGTTGCCATGTATTCTTTAAGGAGTAACCCGATTGCAAACCCTCCAAATTATTCGATACGTGTTCAATAGAGTTCTATTATGGACTTTTGTGCTTTCCATGAAATCAGTTGCGTAGGAGAATCTAATACACAATTAATCAGGTGAAACCGATAATGAAGCAGTGTAACTAAATATTTCTTTGTAGAGCTTGTTTCCAGTTCGATCGTGATCCATCGAACTGGAAACAACGATCTGCTCTTTCATCACAACAAGAAGATCGTTACGTTCTCGATCTTGTGAATTATAGTTAACTCCTGTGGATCAGTGTATCGGGCCTCTAAGGACCCCCTTACGCGATGTAGACTTTCAATTTCATTATCAAGGGACATGCTTCCATTTAGAGAAAGAGTTCTGCAGCAGGTTCTGATGCATCTCTTCAGATACTGTCCGCACAAAGGATTGGGTGTTGCTACCGACCGAGGTCTTAAGTTGTTGATGCTTCACTTCAAACGTCTTCTTCGCATAGAACGCGACCACACAGCAACAAACAGCAGTCCTGCAGGCACTGGTTCAATGTTGGCACCGAACATGGCCTTCTGAACAAGTATCTTACTAGTGTTTTGCTTACATCTAGCGGTCGTACTTTCCTCATGGAAGCGAGAGCGAATCCTGCAAGACTCAACAGATAAAGACAAGAAGGATATCGAAGCACTAAGACGACAAATAAATATTTCAGTTTCAACCTTCAGAATCGTATCCAGCTGTGTGGAGGAAGTAGTCAAAAATTATGGGAATTACTATCAATAGTTGGGCAATGGAAACACAAGCATTCTGCTCGGCCCAAAATATTTCACATTTTAGGCTCAAGGTCTTGAGTTTCTTTTTGGAGTTTGACCTGCATTCTGATGCTCAGATGCCGACCCCATCATTGCACATTGTTTCCTATAATTTTGCAGGTACTCACTCTCATGCACCGTTTGAAACTCTGACGCTAATACTCTCGAAATACCTTGAGAGCAATTTTAGTCTCCACTCTCAATATGACTTGTATGGACTCAGACGCCTTACTCATGCACAGCGTGTGACCCCTCAGGCCGCATCTCCTTACGACATGTCAACAACATCAACAAATAGAACAGACCTGGCTCTTACATTCTAAATGCATTCCTGTGACCAGACCAGGAGAAAGTGTTGGATTATTGTGCAAAGAATTGCCGTTCGTAAGGAGACAAGAATGTATTTATCCACCAGGACGGACATGTAGCATCACATAACGTGTATCTGGATACTTCCATGAAATTTCCACCCAAATAATTTCCCCACTTTGTAACAAGTATCTACCATTGTTCGAGCGAAATATAGAGCACACTTGCTTTTAGGATGGAGTCCTTCTGTATACAATATACACCCCCGAATAATGTTGGAGACCAGCTGCTGAACTGTCCCGCATCTCTGGGTCTATTTAGGTTTGGATTTAGTTCAGATTGTCCCTCTTGGTCTCCTTTTTGGACCACAGTTCAACCTGTAATTGTCCCCTCTGGAATTAGATACACAATGATCTCTTACAGAAGCTTGCTTTTGGCTCTTGGACTGAAAGTGGTTGTTGTGCTTCACCTGAACGTCAAACCTTGTGCATTGCAAATAAAGGAGTCACGTGGCTTTCTCGCCGAACAGCAGAATGATGAGAAAGCCATGGGATGAGCCAAGTTTGCCCATGAACGAATGACGAACGCTGCAAATTTTATGAAAGATATTTTCCACCGATGTCCTTGACAAAAATTTGTCGGATCGCGCTTAGAGCAATGTCCGGAGAAGGGCAGCAGCGCGGTCAATACCTTGTGCATTGTGCTCTGCTGTTTGACCAATTTACACACTGGACAGAATAGTCAAATGCGTCATGTGCCTATCAGTGGATTAGTTTATGGCGTTGGGATATATGTTGAGAGAAGCTACGCGTCCTCTAGCGTAATGATTTATGCCGGATTGAAGCTAACGCCGAAGGTACGCCGAAGAACAGAAATAGTAGCACTGGACTGTTGGCAGCATGGGAGAGACCGACATCTCATCGGAACGAAAGGGCCAATGATGGCTCACTGGCTCAATCAATAGATCGGAATAAAAAGGGAAAGTAAAATAAAATACTTTCCGGGCATAATTCATGAGAAAGGCGTGCATCTTCGTTGACTTATTGGCAATAAGTCAACGAAGATGATTAGCAATAAGTTATTGCTAATCACTGTCTGCGGAGTGACGATTCTGGACCAACAGTTGACACAATAGCGTTTTTTTCGTGGCCTGAACTGTGAATTCAACTGCGAAATCGTGTCCGGGTGGAGACAACGTAGTTCCGACGTAGTTCCGGCTCCACAGATTCTTCTTCTTCGATCATCACTGTCGTCTTTCTCTTCGAGTGCACCTCGTCCGAGCTGATCTCAGGGCGCATCATCAGCGGTTGGTTGTTCAGGTACATCCATCCGATCGAGGAATAGCGGAATGTGGGTTGTGAAGTTCACTTCACGTCAGCTCGAGTTCCGAGGCTCCGAGTCCATGTGCTGACATCGCTGCTGCTGGCGTCGAGGGCTCGCGCAGAGAAGCTCTGTTCCTTGGTCTTGAACGATAGGCTGCTCGCTGGTTTGGCCGAAGAGCTAGCTCGCTTGCTCGCTCGCTCGCTCAGCAGCGAACGGAAGGATGGCGGTGCAGCCAACGCCCTCGTGGCTCAGATCGTACGCTGTAATTTTTACCTCTCTTCTCGCTGGGGCCTCCGTCGTCCACAACATCCTCAAGCCTGATCTGGTTAGTGGACTGTACTGGCATTTTAGTCTCTGATGAACCCATTGGATGAATGTCCAGCTCCGGATGGTGTGCCTTCGGAATTTTAGTTTTGAGAGATCGATCGATCGATCGATCTTTGCAATGAAATTTTGACATGACTTCCTGCCTGCTCGTGGAAAGAAGCTCGATTATCTGAATGGTGTTTGCAGCTCATGATACAGCTCCCGATTCTTGACCATCAATTGCTTCGATCATTTTCTGTTACGGAAATTGTGTTATGCTCCTTTCACAGATTCATACTCAGGGCCTGACTTTAAGCGCCTCTTGCTTGGTCTCTGGTGATGGTTATGAAATTGAATGTTCAGACCATTCCAGATCTGGAGAAACTGGAGAATAGCTCAGCGGAGGAGGATGGTAGTTCACAACAGGTGGAGATGACGAAGCCAGCCACCACTTGAGAGTGGTGGTGGACCGAATTGGAAACGTGGCGTAACCCTAAATCCCTGTGTTTGGACCCTCGAGACAACCCTAAATTGGCGACGATTTGATGAGTGACAGAGGAACTGCAACTTTAATTGCTGCATCGTTTCCAAGTGGAGATCTTTCTCAAAAGAGAGTACATTCGTGATTCGTGACCCATCGATGCATCCATCCGTCAACTAATCGAGGTAGGAGTCCTTCGCATTAGAAGAGAAATCACATGGACGACCCGACGTTGACCTATTTGCACCAATTTCCAGTTTTGAAAGATCTTCCTCCTCAGTGTTATTGAAAGGGGCATCTGATTCTAAAATTCTGCTCTTCCTGTATGTAAGGATCCAAGTCTTCGAGCGTTCGAAGCAGTGTTTTTCCGATGGCATGCACCCCAGACGACTACTTCTGATACCAGTGCATTCTTAAGCCAGTGTATCTACCTGCAACGTTAATGTATATTCATTTCCGAGGATGTCAAGTAAGGGTGCTCAATTTGGGGTCGGTCTGTACATACGAGTACGTTATCCCGTGTATGACTGATTTGGTCCCTTACAAAGTTGAGTTTCATGATGTACACGAAACAGGGTCTGGATTAGAACCAGGAAATGTGACAGTTTCTCGTTAAGATTAAAGTCCGCACCAATTCACCAATTCAAAGAATTTTGACTCGATTCCACTCAACAAGATCTTTTCGATTAGTGTGTATTTGAAACTTCATTAGAATAATCAGATCTTTCAAAATCTTGCGCAAGATGGAGTGGCTGGAATCGTCGTGCTTGATTGTCAATTGCCTGGTTAGCAAGGTTGGCACAAACTCTATCATGCGGCTTGTCCTTCTACACATTGCTCCCATCTCGTCGTAATCGTGTGCGAGCTAGCTTCAACTGCTTCCGCGTGCTAGCGTGCCTTGACCCACAGTTGTGCAATGTCCGATGGATACGTCCACGTATTACACCAAAGAGATGGATATGGAGGGCATTGGACATGTTTGCCAGCCACAGATTGAGGGCAAATTGATCAGCCAAGCAGCGACGCAAACCTAGGACCAGCACAACCGAGTCGTGGTGGCTCGAGGATCACCGACTGCAGCCGAAACAAACTACTGCGCCATCCACGGACAGGAAGAATGTTCTCCGACCGCCAGAACTTGCCCTCAGACCTGCACCAGTATCATACGGGACGAGCAGTTGAGGATGGTGTTCAATTGCATTCTGAGTTTAGTCGCAGTCACTCGAGGGAGAGTGACTCCAGAACCTTAATTTATGGAAGACCTTCTGGTGTGTTGTTATTAACCTGAATCTGATAACCTGAACACCTATCGACATCGACGCAACACGTGACAGAAAAAAATGTATCGGATTTTATGATCATAAGAGCATAAGCATATGCTTCGCTCAGTTTCGAGAAAGAGTAACACGCTACACGCATCGGATGTCACTGCTGTAAGTTGTTACAAGTTATTGTAAATATGAGTATGAAATATGCAAATTGACGAACATGAAGGTGAATAATTCGTCAATTTGCATATTTCATACTCATTTCAACACGAAGTAAGTATTTATGTTTATATATACCCCTAGTTTGTTAGATATGATGTACCGTGGAATCATATAACTGCGGCAAGAACCAAGTACATTCCCTATGAAGCCATCAAAGATCCAAGCTTAGTATTACTTTGAAGTTTTATTTCGAGGTAAAAACTCAAAATTTCACTAAGCATACACATTTTTATTCATGTGATGAAAATGTATATGCTAAGAGGTTTGCACATGTTTAACCAAAGACTAGAATAGCTTTCGAAAATAAAAGCCTGACTTGGATCCATCAGTTAATCAATACTGCTCATTTGGAACTCGGATTCCTCTAAAGGATCAGATCTGGAGATTATCCAAGATTCGGATTACTCTACTCTATCCTTGGGGCTTAAGTTGCACCCATAGGTCCCAAATGACATTAGTGGCGATGAAGTCTACTCGTCTTAATTCCCACAGTTCCTCGGCTCAAAAAAAACTTGGCTTGCGCCTGCTGAGGCAACAATAGAACTTCGACTGTACGAAGTACGTTAAAATGCTTATGCACCGACCCTTGTTCGACTTATCACATTCAGGGCATATTCCAGTGACATGGAAACTCAGTCTGGAGCTTGAGGGAGTTTATGAAAACCTACTTCACGGCTCTGACTTTCAGGGTGCCACTTACACATTACTCAGACCAAGTTAATGAAGTTCGAAACGTTCTGCTGCGGTAGCAGAAGGGCATCACTACATCATAAATACAATGGTTTGTCATGCGATTTATATTATTAGGTGGAGGGCCGCGCGGACGCGAGCCCTCCTCTGCCACAAATTATGACGTGCATTTTCCCCTTGGGGAAATGCTAGAACTGGCCCGACCTTGGTGCAATGGAGGAGCTGATTCTAGGTCATCGCCCTTCGGGATCAGCGATAGGCCCCGCCCAGGTAAGTATGCTTTATTCTCTTCCGACCTCGAAGTCATTGTTCCCAAGATCTCAGCTTATGTTCATAGCGTATGGTTTTTATTGAATCTACAGTATTCTTCTTGGGCCTAAAACTCATGGTTGCAAAGTTCGGAGAAAACCATCTCTAAAATTTCTACAAATATATTACGATAGATTCCAATTCCAAGTTTCTTCTTGTGGTGGGTACTTTATAAGAGTTTCGCGATACGAGTCCTCATCATGAGTCTTCATCCTCAGATGCAGAACTAGCAATAAAATTTATGAATCTGTGTATTGAAATTTCACTATGATATCGACTATGATTGAAACATTGAGAATGCAGGGGAAACAGATGAAAATTCAAATATAGATTCTACTCAGCCAGAATCTGATCAGGCTGAGAGTAAAAAATTATAGTATTTTGAATGAGCGAAGAAACAGGAGATAGAGGCACAATCACACGCTGCAGAACGAGGGGCAATGCAAGTTGCAAGTTAAATGGGGAATCTGAAAACGGTAAAATTCAAAGACAACAGAGTTCAAGGCATCGAGCTCTAGGGGAGCTCGGCTGAGGCTACAAAGTAATCCAGTTGATTTGTTCGTTCCCAAGTCGCTCGACTTGTCTCCTTCTGCTTGGATTCTGTATTGAACGAAATTGATTGTTTTGAATATCAGAACTCTGGATGCACCGTGTACCGATTGAAGATTTAAGTAAATAAATATAAATATACAAAATTTAGTAGGCACTGAGAATTTGAGAATATTTGTTTACAATTCATTCTTATGATGATGAAGCCATTTCCAATACTCCTGCGCCTCCAGGTGGGACTTTCCTTTCAGGTCAGGTATTGTTGTCGATGTCCTTTTCATTCCGTTTGTAATTCCATGCTAAATGTCACATAGATTCATTAATTTTTATAAATAAATAAATATACACATGGCTGATATGTTCAGTAGTCTCATATCAGCCATATACTCCCTACTTATATTTGGTGACTGAGTCTCAAGTTCAACGAGGGATCTTAGTTCCAAAGTCTTGTCTTTGGTTTCAGCCATGTCCTAGATCAAATATCTCATACTTCGGTCCTAAACGTGTATCATGGCTCCTAGACTTGCTCAAAGAAGCCATTTTCATCATGTAAGCTTATGTGGTTATTTTGACCAAGCATACTCCTCGGTACTTGATCATTGTATTTCAACTTGTTTTGTCACTGGTAAATCAGTTTCCAACCACTAAACTTTCACAATCTTCAGGTTCCCAGGGTATTTGGCCCCGTCTTGGTGAAAGACCTCGGCACTAATGGCAGCAAATTGGGGGCCAAATTTTGGAGATTACACAAAAGCATTCCTGCTTTTGGGCCTTATTTCTGAACGCCGCTAAACCCGCTCTGGCCAAACTGCGGAAGCATGTGCACTTTTGACGACTCGGTAATCGTCTACTTGAAGCCTCCTCTAGAACAAGTCCGATGTAAATAACCATATCCATACAAATCGTTATCGTAAATTTGGCACTCCCATAGCTATGCTTTGGTGAGCACAGCGTAGAAGTAAACTCCATCTCTATGGCTGAGTCTCCAGACAGACTAATATGAAGATGCTAATACTATGTAATACTACATGGATATCCGCTTTGATCAATTCTTCCTCGCCTCTACTTGAACTCTCTTCAAGAATCGAATGGTTAAGTAAATATATGTATGTATAGATATGAGATACTCAATCTAAAGTATGTAAGTTAATATATAGCGTATATTTATTTATTTAACAAACAGAGTATACCGATTATATGTTACATGTATCTCATCATTACATTATCAAGTCTCCCATTTTCGTCGAGATCATCACATCTTGCTCTTTCTTGAATATTGATTTACCTCGCCATCCGAGACCTTGTTGTTTTTATATCAATGTGGCCTCCCTTTACCTAAATGATCACATATGACTCTTATGTGATCCTCATATGATATGAGGATAGAATTTCCTCCTTGGTCATGTGAGTCCATTAAAGCTTCGAACTTTATTGCTTCCAAAGCCCATTTCAGCGCCGACCTGGACGTTCGTCGGCAGTCAGTGGCTTTCGAGAAGGCGGAGTTGAAGACGGCGCAGGCACACTGGCCCTGTTCTCGGCAAAACGCGTGAGTTGGGTTCCGAGGTACTTGCAGATCGAGGTCGAGGTGGAAAAGTATACTCGATAACACTCTGACAGGCAGTGCTTCTGCCATCAAGAGGCATAAGAAGAATACGCTGCCTCGAGTGAGAGCACCGCAACGGGCTCGTTCAAGTTTGACGAATGCCCGTCGATTGATAAGCAGCATGATTTACAGAGAGTGAGAAGACGTGAGGTCATCTCATTCATTCGAAAGGTGAAGGAGAATGAGAGCACTGCGGTTGTACATAAGTTTATGGAATAATTGGTTGACAGGAAGGAGTGAGTGAGTGAGTGAAAGAATGAATGAATAAAAATCATTCTCTTTACTGTCCACTGAGGCCATACACCGATAGGAGAGAGGTGGCTGTGTCCTGCACTGTGGACAGACCTGAGGACAAAACTTCAAGAAATTCCAAATTTTACAACTCCTATTGAAAGCCATAGGAGATGACACGTTCAAAGTACATCTAGTGATGCAGTAAGTCCAAAGGTATCAAGCCGACTCGACCACAAAGTGAGGGAGGGGGGAATGAAGCGAGGTGAGCACTTGAATTGAGTATTTCGAGCACAAATTACATTGAGAGTATCGACTATGTACAAAAGGAGCTCGTGAAGCCATCCGTCGTCGTCGGCATCATCATCATCATCGACGCACCAGTCTCCGAAGCAAGCACACTCTGAACCTCTGGCCAGAGAGAGAAAGAGAAGAGAGAGTCCTCTATACAAAAATGTGTCTACTCGATCAGACCTCACCAGACGAATCTGGTGCAGTCGTTTATCGAGCATTCACAATCTCCACACCATTGCCGCCTCTGAAGCCGAAAGCCTCGAGGCTGGCGCTGTAGCTCAAATGCAGAGGAGTGAAGATGGCGGAGCTGGAAGGAGTGGGAGGGCAAGACACTTGCACTCGGCCTTCCAGATAATCGACCACCTGAGCCATGGAAGGTCGCGCTCTGGCCTCGTACTGGATGCACCAATAGGCCACCTGCAGAGCGACGTGCAGCTGCGCTAGGTCCACCTTGCCCTTGAGCTCGGGGTCCAGCAGCTCCGTGACTCCACCCTCCAGGCCCTGGCCCTCGCTCTGCTGCTTGTCGAGGTCGGGAAACTCCCACTGAGGTCGGTCATAGAAGTCACCGATTCTCCGGCCTCCGATGATCTCCAGCAGCAGGATTCCGAAGCTGTACACATCGCACTTGGGACTGGGATCGGACCACCACTCAGGGGCGAAATACTCGAGCGTGCCTTGCGCTGTGGCCAGAGTCAGATCATGGTCTCTCTTCCTGCGGCACCTCACGAACCCAAAGTCCGCCAGCCTCGGGTTCAGATCCTCCGAGAGCAGCACGTTCTCGGGCTTGATACGTCCATGGATGTTGAAGCCCGAGCTGCAAACTCCATGCACGTACGCCAGAGCTTTGGCTGTTCCCAGGGAGATGTTCAACCGAGCACTCCAATCCAGAACCTTGTTGTTGTTGTGGCAGGAGTTGGAGCCCACGGAGCTGCAGGTGTTGGAGTAGAGGAAGCTGCGCAGGGAGCCATTGGCGAAGTACTCTTGGACCAGGAGGCAGTGGTCGCCATCGGTGCAGTAGCCGTAGATCTGCATGAGGTTGTCGTGGTGCAGGGAGCTGACTCTGCGGATCTCGACCTCGAACTCGCCGGGCGTGTAGTCGTCCACGAGCTTGACGGCCACCTCTTTGGAGTTGGACAGAATGCCCTTGAACACTGCCCCACAGCCTCCTCGGCCCAGCTTCTGAGTGAAGCTCACGGTGGCCGCCTGCAGCTCTCGCAGGCTGTACTTTTCGGGCTGATGGCCTCCTTGGATCGCTCCAGCTGCGCCTGCTGCTGGAGCTGGGCACAGCCGTCTCCTCTGAGAACCCCGTGCCTTGTCCTCGCATCGGTTCTGGAAGTAGCCCATGGCTGTGAGCGCCAGGAAGAACACTGCTATCACCGCCGAGATCACTCCCACCACGATGGAGATCACGGGCAGCTTCTTCTGAGGCGGCACCACAGCTCCCTCGTCCTCCTGCCCCGCCACCTCCACCGATGGCCCCGAAGCATTTTGGGCCAGTACACGCCTTGCATCTGCTGCACCAGCTGAGTGCAGGCTCCACACAAGCAGCACCAGCACGTAAGTACTTGAGAGCAAAACTGAAGACTGCGCAGTTCGTCCCATAGCCCCGATCTTCCGAGTGATAGACTGACAAAACGCAACCCAACACTTGGACGTGAACCTCCGATAGAGACAGAAGTTGTTTATCACAGTTTCAAAGCTTTTATAAAATGACGACGTCCTGTTGGCCCTCGAGAAGTGCTCTGCATTCAGAAGCTCTTTCCCTTCTCATGTCGTCTAAAAGGAGACGAGATGCGTGTGCTGGAGCAGATATCACTTGCGATACCGAGCAGCAATGTGTGCACATTGTGTTGAAAACGGGGCTGATGCCACTCGGAAACGTCCCTGTAATTGACAGAATGCTTACTGTGAGGGCTCGACGCTTATAGCCTGCTTCACTCCCTATGCTCACGACTCTCAGCTGCACTCCCACTCCTGCAGGTGAAAAATGTATGATGCGCTGCGCCAGATGTGCAACTTTGACCACTCTCAGCCCAGAAAGTGTGTGATCGAGAGAGAGAGAGAGAGAGTTAAAGGGCAACAAAAACATCAACTGGCTAGGTCCTTGACCAAGAGGGAGCCAGTAATTTTGAGGAAGCGACAGCTTGACTTTCAACAAGGTGAGACTGTCGGCCTCTACAGACACAGAAACAGAGTCGGAAGGTTGATGCAATTATATGCAGCTGGACACTCGAACCAGAGCTCCACAATCTACCAATCCAGAACTCCGACGTCGGCCTGCACCTACAGACCATTGAAGGCTGCTCTGGGTTTTCGATGTGCTCATGCTGAGACACTAGTTTCGATCACAGAAGCGGGCACCCCGATGACGATGTGCAAGACGCAGCCAGGAAGGAGGCAACCCATACCAGGAAAGTGAGGACGTCGGCCAGTACGGTCTGGTTATGAACGTGCGAACGGTATGCCAGGCACTCATATGCACTGCCCATGAAAACGTGTCGATCTATTCGAGTGCTGAGCTCAGCGCATCAGGCAACCATGTCAAATCATTCCCGATTTGCAAATGGAGCAGGATGACTGCAACAGTCACCCACCAGCAATAAATGCCTCGTAGATTACCATGGCATCCATTGCAAGCCACTACAGTATGTACACAATGAAGCCAACCGCCGAGCTCTGGAATCAGAACCAAATCCGTGCCCTTCATTTGGTTTTGATTGTACTGTATCACAATCTCTCTTCTTACAGCTTTGAGCACAACAGTATAAGTAGTTCACACGTACTTGATTACACACAGAAGATTTGCCAAGACGTCAGAGACTCAGAGCTCCAGTGTCAGGCTCTTCTTCTCCAGAACTAAGCAGAATAATTCGTCTGCGCCACACTAACAGCCCTTTGAGAACACTCGCTGTCATGGCTCCAGTAATGCTCGACCTTGCAGCTGTATCCCAGCCATTGCTCCAGTTTCCAACAGTTCTTCCCAAAAGAGTCTGACGCATATTTTTCTAGAACGAAAAAGTGCAAAATCTGAAATTCCATAAACACTTTTCCACGAACCTCGCTTCCACTTTTAGCTTCTCTCGACGGCTTGGAGATTTATTCACGTCTCTGCCCTACTCTACAAAGAATATCATGTACGGCGATAGTATTCTCAAGCTATTCCCAGGACAGATCCCAATTCAATGCTTCAGGACCTGATCAGCTCCAAGTTTCTAAAGGCCCTGTCGGCTTCCATTTGTTCATACAAAATAGGAGTACGTAAGGTATTGCGAAGAAATCGCTGGAACTCACGGAAATGCTGACACTAGAAGCGCCAACAATGTGTACGAACAGGCATCCTCATCGGGAAGACTGGCACGCGAGAGTGTGTATTGTGCACGTCAGGTGCATCGGCTGAGGACCCAGAAGACACAATGAAGGATTCTGTCGCGGGTCATCAATGAATGGACGCCGTGGTGGAAGCAGACTCGGGGCAGCCATTGTCATGTCCTTTCCGTCCACACGGAGATGGTCTGAAGAGCAGGTGAGTCATGAAGGTGGTCATTGATGAGGTGCACCTGGGACGCAGTGAAGTCGCCGAACCCACAATCGAGAGAACTGCGTAAGTCCATAGTTCTGCTCGGTACAGCTACTTCCTCCCGTACACGTACGTGCATATCATGTCGTTGAATTAAGCATCTCTCATAATCGCCAGGTCCGTTGCAGGTCATCGTCCAGTGTAGCTCATAGTTTCGTTGCCTCCTTTCATAGTCTGACCACTTGCATCAGATATATATGGTACTCTCTGATATGGAAACTGATGTAAGTAACTACTCTTGCAAATCGAAATTTCCCACGCTTTTGCTGAAGGATAATAAGCTGAATAAATCAAACTGCGAGAGATACGGTATGAGAGTACAAGAGTGAAGCGTATCGTATTACATATGATACGCTTGTCCCGTATTACATACGGGACATGCGGGTGGATGGATGATCATCATCCCATGGGTGCGTATCTACATACATGAACAAATGTACTAGAGTATACTGCATTATGATACATCATTACGTCATTAAAATCTTTGATTGTATGTCGACAGCATATATCCATTGTATGGTACATGATAGTGAGTTCAGAACTTTAATTAATAGAAAATTAATCTACATTAAAACATATTTGTGATGTTATCTAGATTAAGTTCTATTTTCGGGATCAATTAAAGAATATAACACACTCCCCGGGTCTCTCACATAGATTTCATTATTCTTTCTCTAGATGTGAATGGAATTTTTTCATTTAAAATTTCACTTAAGGATGATTTGCACTTGTAAAACTTATTTCACATTGAAAATATGACCATGATCACAAAACAGAAGAAAAATAATGGATATTGTTTCTTAATATTAAATAAGGAATTTTTAATATATATACACGAAAATATGAAATTACTTTAATATGAAATAAATTCCCATATAAACTTCTAATTTCATTTCAATATATATATATATATATATATATATATGTGTGTGTGTTTATACATTATTTAATTTTAGATCAAATGTATCTAAATATTCTCTATTATAATTTTTCCAAAATATTCTAATCTCTTTAAGAAATCATTATTTTATGATTATTCATTCTAACTGCATTCTTCAAAACATATCTAAGTGTGTCAACATTCTAATTTTATCATATTGCAATGAGCATATGCATAACTCAATAATATATTGTTCACATGTAAATCAAATCACAAGAGATTGTGTTGATTTTTATCTTTATTATCACATAAAATCATTAACTTTTTAAAATTCAGTGACTTTAAATTATTCTTCGATCCAAATAAAATTTAAAACACCATCGAGTCATAATATTCTGGCTTTTTTTTTACAAATCAGATAGAATGTTTTATGAATATAATCTCTAATAAGTTTGTCATGTATTGTTGTCTTGACAATATATACTTTATCTAAAATAAAACCCAAAAAAGTTACAAAAACATACAAGAATATTATACCAGTATAATGAACAATTGATATAATAGAGTTTATTTTAATCTAGACTTTTCTATATAAATTAATTGCTCATCAAGTTGATATTTTATTATAATTGCAAATCATAAATAATTTTATAAACTTAAATGTATAAATTTACCTATTATTTATTAATTTTTATTTATAAATCTAAGTTTTAATTACTTTCAAATATTGAAATAAAAAAAATTATTATCAGCAAAAAAAATAATTTTAAAAAATCATTCAAATTTTGAAACTAGTATTTTCAAATATATTAGTATTATTTTAAGATTAGAACTATTTATTTATAAAAAATAATTCAAAGCTTATTTAAACCAAGAATAGTGTCAAATCTTGTTAGATCATAAATTGAATATTTAAAATTACTACTTTTCGTGATTTTTTTCCTCCATATGTTAATAATTGCAGAAATTTACTAATCTGCTTACACTATTGTATGTTTTAAAGGCAGTTAGATTTGTTGTGTATTAAAGCAATCAAATTGATTACATTTATTTTTTAACTGAAGAATATATTCTTTACATCTGAAATATGAGTCTAACTTTTATAGATTTTTTAATGATAAGGTATCACCTTGATACCTGATCACTTCACTTATAAGTGAAGTGTCTTATAATATATAAACTTCTCATTATTTCAATAAAAATATTCAAATTAAAAAAAATATTCAAATATAAACAAAGTCATGTCATTAAATTTTTTGTATTATTGCAAAATCAAATTATCACATAAACTTTTGTGTTGATGATTTTAGCTCAAAACAAAAAAAAATATAACTCGATTGTTTTAAAAATGTTTTCCGATCTCCAGTAATGTATGTTTGAATCATTCATCAATATCATTCTCATATGAAATTAATATTGATATGAATAAAATTTTTTTTAATCTTGTTGATAATACAACTCAAATAATTGCTAGATTTTTTGTTTAATTTCTTTTTGATTATTTAAGTTTTTTTTAAATTTTTTCACTAGTTTTTTTTATTGTATTAATATTGAAGTATAATGTGAAACCTTGAACTCTTTGCTTGAGCTTTTTGCACTTTTCATAATCATAATCAACCTTTCAAATTCATTCATTTTTTAGTTTTTTACATACTTGTTTATGCAATTTGTTCATCAAGTGTACATGTTTTTCTCTTTCTATTTGAATCACACATGAGAACAAAAATTTATGTGAAACTCATGCTAATCTAACCTTAAGCAATCTTGAAACAATGAATTTTCACTTTCAATTTGTATAAGTAAAAATATATATCACTGTATAGATTCATATTTGTAATCAAGCTCAATGTTTTTTTTTTAATCAAGCATTTTTTCAAAACGATCACAATGTACTCACAAACCAACAAGTTCAAAGCAATTCAAACCACAAAAGTCAAACAATAATATACTCTACTAAGATTTCTTTATTTTTTAGATCAATTTTGGTCATTAATAAACAATGAAACTATAAATTTTAATTTTTGAATCATAATTTGAAGCATCAAACTTATTCAAATACATTTCAATTGATGAAACCTGCCATGGACTCGACTTTGTGTGATGTTTGTGTTGTAAACCAGTGGAGTTTACACAATTGATTTCACTCAAAGAACTATATGGAATGATAGAGACAATTGCTGGGGGCGACAGGCGAAATATTCGTCATCCTTGGAGTTCGTGGGACGTGACGAGAGGGCCTGCTAGACTTGTAGTTCATGCAGTTGGAGGAGTTTTTCACGTGGAGGTTGGTCCAAAAGTAGAGTACAAAGAGCCGTACCTATTTTTTAAAGAAGATGGCAAATCAACTAGTGAGAGAGTCGTACTCCTCTAGTATATCTATAAAGAAGGATTGAAAGCCATAGATTGGTTTCCATATCACATGAGGAGAGAGACGATGGTTGATACAATTCATACGTGTGTATATGAATTGTTTTGCCTTCGACATGAAGGAGTTCGGTGCTTTGATTGTACCCGGCATATAAATGGAGTTGGCTAGTGATACGTTAATCTTTCGTCTTCCTTATCAGTATAGTGATATGGAGAGAGATTTGATTCGGAGTAGGACAAGGAATTAACTGGAGTGGTTGATGAAGTGTGACAAGCTCATAGTGAAACTTGCACTGTGGGCTCTCATCTTATAGGAGTATGACTTTCAGGTGGTGCATAAACTTGGAGTTGCAAACCTTATGTAACCATCTTTAGTTAGTTAGAACTAAAATAGAGGTTACTCTAAATATTAATGTAGATACTTTAGTGTGCACTAGTCATAGCTGCCACGTCAACAATCCGCGCACTTGGTAGGTACCGAGTGGATGTGTTAGTTGACAGTGTCACGTCAGCAATCCGTGTGCTTGTAGGTAAGGATTGAGTGTGTTAGTTGGATGCGCCACGTCAACGATCCGTGTGCTTGTTAGGATTATCCGCCACGTCAT